TGGCCAACTGGGGGAGGGTTCCAGCCTTTAGGTAGCAACAAGAGGGGCCAGGTGTTCAAGGACCAGCTGGAGCAGCTGGAACGTGAGAGAAGGGCAGGTGCCCGGCTGCCGGAAGAGGGCGGGGGGTGAGGGGAGGACAGCCTGAACCAGGCACGTTGCTGTCCCACAGATTGCTCCATTTAACCCCAAAACATCCCAAGGGAGGAAGGTGCAGCCACCACCCTCATTCACGGGGGGAGGGGGAGGCTCTGGCTCCAGTGACCGGCCAGGGCCACAGACATGGGGAGTGAAGCCGAGAGCCCCCCAACCCCGGGCAGTCTGGCTCCAGAGCCTATCGGGCACCAGACCCCACACCTAGCAAAGGTGGCAGCAGGAGCAGGACAGTCAATGGGCAGCCTGGAGTCACCCTACACCAGGACACAGGCCTGCCGGCCCCTTACCTGCCCCTGCACGATGGCCTTCAGCAGAGCCAGCACCGCATGCCGGGCCTCCGGCGGCCGCTCTGGCTGCAGCAGGTCTGCGACCGCCTTCCAGAGTGCTTCCACCGCGTGCTGACACCAGAAAAGAGGGACAGTCATCAGGGTGCCGTCTCCAATAACTGGCCCCTCAACTCAAGGACAGCACCGTGAACACAGGACGGAGCAGACAATGGGGGCTTCTGGCTTAGAGCCCCTCTGACGCTCATGTCTCCTGTCCCTGCTGCAGCCTGTGATGACAAGCCTAACAAGACCGGCTCAAGGTGACTTCAAACCCGAGCAGGTCCCTTGCAGCCACCCCAGGCCACAGACGGAAACAGGCGAGGGGAGGACAGCAGGCAGGCCGGGAAGCAGCCTGGCTTCCCCAAGGCCCGCAGGGAGTCCCCATTAGAGCTGCCCAGACTCTGGCGGGGAAGTCACGGGAGGGGCCTCAGAACCAGAAGTGCATGGTGGGCCCTGGGCCTGTGCCAGACACGCAGCTCTGTGGCTTTTCTCCGTGAACACACCAGCCGTGGCCCTGGCCCCACACCCCACCCTGCCTTCGCCACCCTCAGACCCATGGAGGAAGAACTCACTGCTCCTCCTGAAACCTGCCTCCTCTGACCCCACCCGTGGGGAACTTGTCCCTGCTCCCCCTTGAACTGCCATAATCAGTGTCACTCAGCAAGCTTCTGAGATGGCTCCCGTCACCTTCCCTTCCCCACGTTAACCTCCAACCAGAGCTTTCTGACCACTCCCCCTCTCCTGGGTTCACTCCCAACAGAAATGGAACTAAAATGGCCGTGGTCTTGTAGGTGCTGTCTGACCAACATCCCAACCAACTCAGGGTACGCTGGGAATCTCCCCTCCTTTGTCCCATTCCCAACACTCCCATCATGACAACCTGAGCAGCAATAACACGCAAACACAGAGCCTGTGGACCACCCCAGCCTCTGAGGCCCACTCATCTATTCGCACGATGTTTTGTACCTATATAAACAACCTTCCGAACCAGGATTCCTATTTCTTACATTTTTCCTTAGTGATGTGCGGCTTGTATGTTTGTGATGAACTGCTGAAGATGTAGTCGTTCTCCCCTTAGCAGCCCTGAGTCTGTGAGGTGTGAGGCGTTTGTTCACCTGCAAACGCTGGGCAAGGCTAGGGCAGGGCCCTAAGGTGCTCGACCAGCAGCCTGGGGCAGTGTCATTCTGCACTCCCAGAATGACAACTTTCCATTCTGTCCCCAGTCGTCGACAGAGTTTGGAAACATTTGCCCAAGATAAACGTGTGTCTGTGACGTTGCCTGATACCACCAGACAGTCACCTCTCCCCAGATGGTACCACGATTGGTACATCTTGAATTGTTCTCTGTGAAACCAAACTCTTTCCTGACATTCCTTTATTTTCCCTTCCCCTGAATGTGTAATAGGGGAGGACAAGTACGCACGCATTTTTATAAGCCACTACAAAACCTTTCTGGGGTCTGCTGGAAACACCTAATCCCTCTGCTCCCCACCCCAACACAACTAGTCCCTCAGGGTTGCACTCAGGGCATTTCCAGAAGCTTCCCATCACTAAGATGAAAATTACTCTAAAATAGTGCAAATCAGATAATTAGCAAAATTAGCTGTCAATCATGCTCCCAGAAAAAGCAAACTCAGGCTTGTAAACAACCTACATGCATCTTTTTAGTAGCCCAACTGCGACAAACCTACCTCTTCCAATTTCTTAGTTTTTGCGACTTCACAAATCTGCCCTATCACCCGGATGCGATTGTTGAGACCACATTCAACACTCAGTTCCTAGAAAGACGAAAGAAGAAAAGGGGCCGGCGCTCAGGCCACAGGTTTCCTTAACCGCTAGTCACAACCCACCCTAACAACTGGACACTTAAAGCAGCTCTTTCTGAAATCAGGATTCACCAAAGAACTTATTGCTCCATCTCAGTGGACTGAGAAAATGAAACTTTTTCTTCACGACCAAAAATTTTTTATTGAGTTAAAACCCATATAACCTAAAATACACCATTGTAACAATTTTGAACTATATAATTCAGTCTTTTGTATATTTACAATTGTTATAGCCATCTCCACTAATTCCAGAACATTTTCATCACCCCCAAAGAAAACCCCACACCAATTCCATCCTCCCCCCAGCCCCTGGCAAACATGAATCTACTTTCTGTTATTGTGGATTTGCCTATTCTGACATTTCCTGTATGTGGCCTCTGTGACTGGTTTTTTTACTTAGCATGTTTTCAAGGTTCATCTACATTGCAGTATGTGTCAGTTTTTCATTCTTTTTTATTGCTCAATCACATCCCACTGTATGAATGCACCGTTAGGTTTGTTCCAGGTGGGAACTCAAAAAGTATGTACAGGACGGAATGTGGTTAATGCAAAACTTAGGCTTGTAAAACAATAGCCCCAAGAGTCTGGAGAGTTCCCGGACCTTGTAGATCTAACAGACAGCTGCAGCCAGCATTCCTCCCCCATCCCTCCCTAACTCTCCTGATAAGGACAACGCCAGAGCAGAAGGATGGATGTGACTCGGGCAGGGGTCTCAGGAGTTGGTGGTTTGCAAAAGAATTTATTACAAGCAGCTGTTCTGGCCCACTTACTCCCCCTGGAAAAAACCCCTATAAAACCCAAGGCTCCCCTTTTCTCTCATGGACGCTTTTTCACCTCTACCCATCTGCACCCAGATGCTTGAAATAAACAGCATTTTGTTACACGTGAGGCTTCGTGTCTCTCCCTCTTGGACCTAACATGTACTCTGTTTCCCCAAAAATAAGACAGGGTCTTATATTTATTTTTCCTCAAGAAGACACCCTAGGGCTTATTTTCAGGGGATGTGTTATTTTTCTTAAGTACGGTACAACAATCTACATTTATTCAAATATAGTTAAGTCGTCTTCTTCTGGAACATCATCATAACTCTCCAAACCCCGAATTCCATCCTGATTTTCTTGTAACACTATTTCCTTTAGAACCATTGGCCCCAATCTCTCATGTTGAGCAATAGAGCTCTCATGTTGAGCAATAGGGGCAGATAAGAAGGGCTGCTTGTCTTCTGTACCACTCTGCGATGAAATGCATGGGTTGTGCAGATACACTGCGAAGCCACGCCCATCATTAGGTCTTATTTTCGGAGTCGGGCTTATATTGTGCAAATGCTTAGAAATCCTGCTAGGGCTTATTTTATGGGTAGGTCTTATTTTCAGGAAAACACGGTACCACGTTGTATCTATCCATTCATCAGCTGATAAATGTTTTGGTTGTTTCTAAGTGGGAAACACTACAAGTGCAAAAATTCAACATTTACTCGTGGGCAAAACATAATGCCGGGCATGTGTCAGGAGGATACAAACACACTATCCTGTATACAGAAGGACCCACTTCTCCCAGAACTCACAAAATACCTGGCCATATCCCTAACTACCTGTGGAGATGATGGCATTCAGGCCATATCTAGTAAAATGGGCTCTCTTACACCCATACCTGAGTACTAACTCAAGTGTGCTGGACCGGGTCACTAAGATTCTGACTTTCTGAGCCTTCCAAAGGAAAGAAGGACATGCCCACCTCCACAGTACTGGAGACAGCATCCCTGTGCAAATGATCACCAGCAACCTGTCTCCCACAGAACCTAGTGCAAGACTGAACCCAGCCTTCCTTGCACTTCCCACTAGGCTAGTAAAGACAGGCAGCTCACTCACTCTCAGGGTTTCTGCTGTGATGATGAACTCCGTCTGTTTGCCCTCTGCAGACCTGGGATTTGGCCTTGATGTTCCCAGTCCCAACAGAATCTTGAACTTCTCCTTCAAGCCTGAATCTTTGCTTGTTGGCTTGGCCATGGTGGGCAGGGACACACCAGAGGACTCCTCTGTGCAAAAGAACCACGCATGGAGACATGTGAGAAACAGCCCCACCCACCCACCCGGCTAACGACCGCCAGCCGCCAGGACCCCGGGTCAAGGGTGGGCATAAGCTCTTCCACAGCCCCTGGGCAGAACTCAACCACAGCCAGACTGACCCGGCTACAAACAAGCCTGGGAATTGCCAGGCCTGATCTAGCCAGCTGCCTGCTCAGACGCGGCCGCCCGCCCGCCCCGCCCGACTCCGTGCACGGGGTGGGCGGCCGCCGCGGGGTCTAGGAAGCCCTGACGTTTGCCATCTCTCTTCCCCCGTGTGGAGAAGGAGCTGTCACGCAAACGCCTGAAGCAGAGAGCCGCTCGCACCCGCCATGACTTAAAACCCAGGAGTGCTTGCAGCTCCAGGGTCAGGCTCGGTGGGCGCGACCGAGGCCGGGGACCCGCCGCCCCAGGAGCCCCTTCGGCTGCTGCGTCGGGGCCGGGCTACATCACGGTCCAGGCCGGCGCCAGCGGTCGGGCCGTCGCGAGCCACTCACCCCGCGCCGCGCCTCCGCGCGCCGGGCAGCCCGGACGCCGAGAAGGGCTCACACCCCCGGCCCGTAGCCGCCGCCGGAAGCACGACCTGCACTTCCGGCAGCGCGAGCGCACCGAGGGCCGGCGCAGGGCTTGCTGGGAGTCGTAGTTCTGGGTCCCTTGTGTCGGAAAGACTGGTAGCGCTTTGGGTCACGTGACGGAGCTGCGGGGCCTGTCGGGATGTGTAGTCCGCAGGAGTCCGGCATGAACGCTATGAGCACGAGGATGGTGACCAGAAGCCGGACCCGGGGACCCGGGGCCCGACCGCGGGCGGGCGGGGAGGATTCTGCGCCGCTCGGGAAGGGAGAGGCGGCTGCAGGTAGCGCCGCGCCCCTGCCGGAGCGCGGGAGGAGGGGCGGGGGAAGGGGCCTGCAGGGGACTGGGGGCTGCAGGCTGGGTTCCTGGCCGCCTCCGAAGGCTCCGAGCTGCGCAGCGGGGACCGGGACGCAGGACGCGGCAGACGCGCAGCCACTAACGAGTTCTGTGGCCCCACCTGCGGCCCTGCGTGCCCACCCTGCATCCTTTTCCCAGAAGCTGGGGTCTGCTGGGGTCTACCGGAGCCTGGGCCTGCCCTGCCCACTCTGGTCCTGGGCACGATAGTTCTTCCCATCCTATCAGCTGTCCCTGGTTACTGCACTTGCCCAGGCCGTGGAGCAGACCAGCCCTGCCTTCTTTCAGTGAACCTGCTTCACTCTCAGAGCGGCTGGGTGCCAAGGACACACCCAGCCATAAGTCTCCCTCAGGCTAGAAGGTGCCTCAGGGAAAACAGGAAAGGACGTGGCATTCATTATATTTATCCTGTCGCCATAAAGGACCTACTGTGTGCCAAGCATGGGAGTCAGCAGGGAGCGACACTAACAGGACCCCTGTACTTGTCCCCCAGAACTTATGCAGAATTGGCTAGAGGGGGAGTCCCATGGCACCCAAGGACCCCAGGGCTAGTCCAGACAAGCACAGAGGCATGGTAGGAGGAGCTGGTATGCAGTGGGGAACAGGCAGGTGATAATGCCAGCCAGAATGGCGGGAACTTTGATGCCAGGATAGAGTTTGGAGTTCATTCTAAGTGCAAAAGGAAGTTGATGAAGCGTTTTGAAAAGGGAAGTGACTGGATCTGATCTGGATCTGCATCAGCTGTCTCTGATGCAGTACAGAGGATGTAGAGGCTATATCAGCTGCATCATGGTAGACACTTACCAGGCTTCTCATGTGCTGCTGTGGATCTTGTCAGGGGCACAGTGGCATAAGGAAGGCTGACATGTCCCCTTAGGGCAGAGCACCCCAAAGTTTAATAGATGATGGGCAGTTTTTGCATGAATGAGTAAGAGGTGGGCTAGCAGGTAGAGCAGCACCCATACCCTACCCTCACCTGTGCCCCCACTAAGGGGACTGAGTGGCACCTTTTGCAGAAGGAAGGAAACGCCACAGCCCTGTGAAGCGCCAGCAGAAACCACAGAGACTGCATGTGGCCTACGAGGCCTCGGATGGTGAGAAAGGTGAGGGGTCCGAGCCCTTCAAGGTGCCCACCTGGGAGCCCCAGGACTGGCAGCAGCAGCTGGTCAACATTCGTACCATGAGGAGCAAGAAGGATGCACCTGTAGACCAGCTGGGGGCTGAGCACTGCTATGATGCCAGCGCCCCCCCAAAGGTAGGCAGGGGCCCCATCTGCCTGGGTAACCCCCTTCCCAGCAAGACACTTGTCTCCTCTCAGGCCTCTGACAGCCTGACACCTAGTGGCTCTCGGCTGGTACCCTCCCCTGTAGGCAGCACTTTGAGGGGACAGTGTCCCAGAGCACTGGGCAGCATCACTGGCTTCATAGCAGCCACCCAGCAGGTCACAGGCAGCTGCATCTTAGGGCCTCATGCTCTGCTTTCTGCCGGGCATGGCACAGCATGTCATGTGCTTTCTATAATGTGAGGGAGGGACAGTTCTTATACCTCAGTGGCCCAGAGCCTGGGTCTGGGGACTGCTCTGAGTTCTGATCCCTACTCTGTTACCAGGTGACTTGCATACATGCCTCTCCGAGCCTCAGTTTGCTTGTCTGTGAAATGGGTAGCGTTGTCATTCACAAAGCAACAGTAACTGTAGCATCCGACGCCTGTAGTGCCAATGTGCCATATATAATTCTAAGTACTGTGATAATTCATGTGAGGGTCTCTCTGATCCTGTGAGGCAGCTACTGTTATTGTCCCCATGTTGTAGGTGACGAAACAGGCCCGAGCCAGACCCACACACCCCACTCTACCTGTGCTGGCCTGGGTGGGTTGGAGGCTGATGTCCCATGTGTTGCTCAGGGTAACAGGTGGAGGTGGGTAGATGGTGTGGGTGGGGCCTGGCCCAGGACAAGCACCAAGACCCACCGCCACGCTGTCCCTGTCACTGCACCAGCAGGTACGGAGGTACCAGGTGCTGCTGTCGCTGATGCTCTCCAGCCAGACCAAAGACCAGGTGACGGCAGGCGCCATGCAGCGGCTGCGGGCCCGGGGCCTGACGGTAGACAGCATCCTGCAGACCGACGACAGCACGCTGGGCAAGCTCATCTACCCCGTAGGCTTCTGGAGGGTGAGCCCAGCCCATGGCCACCGGGGCTGGGGTAGCACTGGCCTGGGAGAGACCTCAGGAGGCTGAGGGACGTGGAGGTGCCAGAGACGAGAGTCAGGCCTTTCTGGCATCAGGGGCCTGGGTGCGAGTCCTGCTAGAGCCCCCCATCCGTCTGTGCAGCCCGTGGGGCCGGCACCTGGTCCCTGGAGCTCCCAGGCCTTTCCTGTTTGTGACCTCCCCTTCCTTCCTCTGCTCCCGCCTGCCCCGCCCTTCCTCTCCCGCCTTTCCCTTTGTTTACTCCAAGCCACCTCCCTAGAGTGTGCCCTCCCCCTAGCCCCTCGCCCTCTAGGAGCCCTCCCAAGGCTGCTCCCCCTCAGCGGAGCACTGGGCGGTGGGCGGCTGGATCTGCTGGGAGCAGCTTGGAGGGTGGGGCTGCTTCCCTTGGCACCAGCAGTCTGTCAGGCGGGCTTTAAATAGCCCTCTCGCTCAGGCACAGGATGGGAACCACCCAGCTGGCCTGTGGCTGACAGGGGAACCCGGGCTCCAACCTTCCTTCCTGAAGGCCCAGGTGCTGCTGAACCCAGCTCCTGGGAGTGGCCTGCTCAGCCTGGCCTGGCCTCTGGGGGGAATGACAGGGCGAGGGACCCAAGCCGGACCCTACATACATCATGGGCTGTGCAGGGGGGAGGCAGGGGGCCAGGCCTGCCATGGGGCCCTGCCAGGAGCTCCCCTGAGCCTCTCTGCTGCCCTCAGCTTGTCCCCATCTCTGGGGGGTAGGGCTGAGCAGCTGCCTCTGCCTGGGTCCTCGGCAAGAGACAGGCAGCTCCGGGTACCTGTGGGCCTCCCGGGGCCTCGTCCTCCCAGGCCAGGCTGTACCCCCCACCTGCAGGGCTGACTCCCCCCATCCCTCAGAACAAAGTGAAGTACATCAAGCAGACCAGTGCCATCCTGCAGCAGCGCTATGGCGGGGACATCCCGGCCTCCGTGCCAGAGCTGGTGGCGCTGCCCGGTGTTGGGCCCAAGATGGCGCACTTGGCTATGGCTGTGGCCTGGGGCACCGTGTCAGGCATCGGTGAGTGGCACGAACCCACGAGCAAGGAGGGGCTGGCTCTGGGCTCTCCAGCTGCTGTTGGGGTTCCCCACTCATTGTTACCTAAAACCCCAACTCTAGCTTCCTCGTCCGCAACTCAGCCCATGGGGTCAGAGAGGTGTTCCCAGTGCCCAGCAGGCCAGCCCCACACCTGTCTGTGCTGTGTGCGGGAGGGACATGCTCCCCCGTGGCGGGGTGGAAATGGTGGGCTGGGGGCATCTGAGATGACTTCCTGAGGTCACATTTCGGCTGGGAGGCAGGGTCAGCCAGGCCAAAAGGAGGAAGTGCATTCCAGGTAGGGGAACAGTGTCTGCAAAGCCAAGAGGAGGAGAGAGGGCCAGGAGTAGGAAGTGATGGAATGAGAGCGGCAGAGTGGGGGGCTGGGGAGGGAGAAGGAAGTGCTGTCTCCTGGGCAGGGGGTGGGGGGACAGCGGAAGGAGAGGCCTCCCTGGACTCCTTTGCCCAGGTGCAGGGTGTCCCTTCCTGGTATCAGAGGCTCCTCTGCGGTTAGAGGAAGACAGTCCCCCGGGTGGGGTGAGGAGCTGCGTCGTCCTCAGAGCTTTGTGCAGAGGAGCTGGGACTCCTGACGCCACACATCAGCAAGGCCCCGCCAGCCCAGAAACCAGGCTTTCACCCCCGCCTCTGTGCACCGTCCCCTGCCAGCGTCTCTGGGACCCCTGTGCCTTCCAGCACTGCCTGGCGGGCACGAGGGCAGTGAGGGGCTCAGGCTCAGTTCTGAGCCCTGGAGAGCTCAGCCCCGAGAGCCCACGCCGGGCTGGGCGGGAGTGGGCAGTGCCTCCTCCCCTTCTTGACGCCCAGCGCCACTGGCCCGCCAGCCTCTCAGCAGACACTTGAGCTTATCTGGGCGGCTGTCCTCAGCTGCCCGAGTACCCGAGCGCTGCGCTGGGGTTGGGCCGTCTGTGGGGGAAGGGCCCCCTGCCCACAGCCAGGTGGGGGACACAACAGACAGGAGTGCCAGAATGTCACCCTCTCTGGTTGTCTGTGGGCCCCACCACACGCTGGCAGATCCCAGGAATGCCTTCTAGGGGCTTCCCAGAGAGAGAAGCCCCCTCCCTTAAAAAGCCAGGGCCAACTTTGGGAGACAGAGGCAGGAGGATTACTTGAGGCCAGGAGTTCAAGACCAGGCGGGGCAAAAAAAAAGACGATGAAAAGTTAACCAGGTGGTGGCACTCGAATGTAGTCCCTGCTACTCGGGAGGCTAAGGCAGGAAGATCACTTCAGCCCGGAAGTCTGAGGCTGCAGTGAGCTGTAATTGTGCCACTGTATTCCAGCCTGGGTGACAGAGTAAGACCCTATCTCGGGGGAAAAAAAAAAGCTAGAGCCAGGGGGTACAGAGCCCCTCCCAGATAGGTGACCTTGGGCAAGGCACTGGCCTCTCTGAGCCTCTGGCCGGCCACAAGGCAGCGAAGGAGTTGCCCTTGCTAACTGCATAGGTGTGCGGGTAGCCCTCCCTCCCGGCCAGCATGGGAGGCTCAGGCAACATGACATGCCCAGCCCTGGTCCCTAGGGCTACCCAAGGAGCCTGGCCACCTCCGTGTTAGAGAGTAAGGAACTGAGGCTCAAGGCCCCAAGGATGTGACCCTCAGTCTTTGTGGTCTCCACACCCCCCCACAGGGTACCTTTTTCCAGGCAGGTAGCAACAGGGCGAAGGAGCTGGCGCAGGGATTGGCTTTCCCTTTGGCAAGCACTGGAGGAGGAGGCAGGGCTGGGACTGCAGCTGCCCGGGACAGCTGGGCTGGAGAAGGCCTGGGTGAGCAGGCGCTGGGCCGAGCCCCTGGGGTGGCCAGTGGGACCAGGGGCCAAACCCCAGGTGTGCAGCAGCTGCAACTGGCCAGGCCGCACTCCCTTCCCGCTCCCTGAGCACCACAGTGGCAGGTGACCTCCGGCTGGCCTGCTGGACCAAGCTGCTGCCACCCCGCCCAGGGCCCACAACCAGTGCCTGGACCAGGAGGGGCCTAGGGCCACAGGAGGCCGAGCAGAGGGAAGCAGGGCCAGGAGGCACTGCACTCCGGGGGAGCCTGAGGGCCACGTGCTTCCCGGAAGTCCTGGGCCAGGTGCGGCAGCTCCTGCCTGTGGGAGGATCTCTCGAGCCCAGGAGTTAGAGGCTGCAGTGAGCTATGACCATGCCACTGCACTCCAACCCGGGTGACAGAGCAAGACCTTGTCTGTAAGAGGAGAAAGAATCTTGTTGGGCCTCAGTTCCTGCTTCTGTGGGTGCCTTGCAAGGACTTACTGAGTCCAGGCTGGTAATCTCCCCACGCGGGGTCTGGCCCTCAGCAAGTGCTTGACACAAGGTAGCTGTCACTGTACTTGGGGACATAGAGCTCAAAGCAGAGCAGAGATACCAACCCCCACAGAGAAGAGCAGAGCCCCCGGCACCCACACACCCAGCCAGCACCAGGATAGTTGGGAGTGGGTCATCCCAGAGCAGAGACCCCCAATTCACCGGGATGATGGAGGCTGCCCGCACCCGAAATAGCAGGCACCCAGTTCCCTGGGGCGGTGAGGCAGCCACACTCAGGCCTGGGGCCAGGCCTATGCGGTTCCCATCCCTGCTCAGAGTCCTGCGAGGGGGGAGGTGGCGGTGCTGGCTCCGCAGGGATGGGGCAGGGTTTGGCTGGTGCAGTGTGCCTCCTGTTCACCCTGCCCTGTCTCCATCCAAGCAGCGGTGGACACACACGTGCACAGAATCACCAACCGACTTCGGTGGACCAAGAAGCCAACCAAGTCCCCAGAGGAGACCCGAGTCGCCCTGGAGGAGTGGCTGCCCAGGTGCCGGTGGGGTCCCTGGCGGGCAGGATGGGGCAGGCCTCTCACTCCCCAGCGCTGAGCCAGCCTCACCCCGCAGGGAGCTGTGGAGCGAGATCAACGGCCTGTTGGTGGGCTTCGGCCAGCAGACCTGCCTGCCCGTGCACCCTCGCTGCCAGGCCTGCCTCAACCAGTCCCTGTGCCCGGCCGCCCGGGGCCTCTGAGGGCCGTGGGCTCCGGCCTGAGTGCTGCTCAGGCCGCTGTCTGTGAAGTGCCTTTGCTTGGGAGCCACAGCCTGTTTAGTAAAGCTTTGGGGTCATTTGCAGTTGGGGTCCGGCTGACTTCTGTCCCTGAGGGGCAGGGGCAGGCAGGGAACCACGTGCCGGCGAGCGAACGTGTGTGTGCCCGTGCTCTCGTGCGTCTGGACCAGGGCTGCCTGGGAGGCCAGGATAGGGACGTGACAATCTGGGCTGTGCACTTGGGAGGGAGGGGGGAAGTGGTGGAGCCAGCTGTGGCCAGCTGCCGGAGCACCTCCTTGGGAGCTGGCTGGGGCGCCGGACCCTGCCCTGCCCAGCACAGGCTGCCCTTCGGGTCCCACCCCCGTGTTTGCTGAGCCCTCTGGCCTCAAAAGGGACACTAGGAACCCGGGCAGGGTGCCACAGGGCACAAGGCTTGACCTGTGTGTACCTGCTAGAGGTGGTGGGGGCCACGCTGGGCAAAGGGCAGCCCGTGGGTGTCAGGGCCCAGGTGGCTTCACAGGGGTGGTGAAAGTGGGAGGCTGGGCCTCACCAAGCAGAGGTGGCAGGGGCCCTAGGAGGCGTCCCAGAGGGAGGGAGAGGTGTGAGGGTTCCAGGTGGGCTGGAGGGGAGAGGGAGCAGGCTGAGAGCAGATGGATGATGTGGGGTGGGGGGCAGGGGCTTCGGAATGACGTCGTTTCCAGCAGCTGCAGCGGGGAGGGGGCTCCCCCAGAACTGGCCTCCTTCCTCCCTTTCCCCCTCCCCCAGCTGAAGGCTCAGAAGACAGCAGCACAACACCGAGGTCTGTCGGTGGCAAGGCCTGTTTATTCTGAAGGCGCGCATGCGCTATGGCTTACGAGGCAGACAGCAGTGCCGGTCAGTGGGTTCAGGGCAGGGGAGGAAAGGACAGAGTCGACAGAGTGTCCATGGGGTGGGAGAGGCGGGTGCACCAGGCAGGGGCTGGGCCCAGAAGCCTGGGGTCCTTCCTGGAGGCCGGGCCTCCCAGGCCCTGGAGCTGCCCTGCAGAGCGAGGGGCCTGTCCAGAGGCTGCCCTTCTGGGGCTGGGCCTCCATCCTGGGCCCCAGACCCCCTGCAGGGTGAGAGGCAGCACAGGGTAGCTGGGGGGGCTGGCCTCATGACCCCTACACCAAGGAGGGCAGGGAGGGGGCAGGGAAGCTGCTATAGCCACATCCTGCCTCCCCGGCTTTTCCCCAAAGTCCCCAAGAGCAGCCTGGGAGCCCCAGCCCACTCAGTCCCCTGGAAGTCCCTAGGACTCCCACGCGGGGTGGCTGCTGCCCGGGGCTGGGGGAGGAAATGGTTTGGGAGAAAGGTTTGCTTTATTGCAATTATTTAGAGAGCATGTCCCAAGGGGGGTGGGGGAGGGGGCCCTCTGGTATTAAGTGGAAACATGTGTGGAGCTAGAGATCTTTTTGGAAAAAAAGCAAAAACACGAATTCCTTTCAGTCAGCAGGCCTGGGGCAGAGCAGCAAAGGCCCTCAACCCGCAGGTCACGCTCTGCCCACCCCACCCCTTCTCTCCCTCCTCCTCTCTCTGTTCCTCTCTCTCTGTCCCTCTCTGTCTGTCTGTCCCTGTCTCTCTCCATCTCCTCCCCTCTCTGTCCCTCTCTCCCTCTCCCCCTCCCTGTCTTTCTCCCCCTCTTGCTGCACAACAGGCCCGCACTCAGCGGGCAGGGCAGGGTGAGGGCTTATGGGGCGCAGGTTTGTTTCTGGGTGGTGATGGGACCACCCTCCAGCCCACTGAGGCTCGGGGCTCTGGGCAGGGCCCGGAGAACAGGCAGGGGGGCTCAGAAGTTGCTGAAGATCTCACGCTTGCGGTTCCAGTCCATCTGCGGCGCCCGCTTGTTGACGCGTGTGGCTCGAGCCTTCTCCTTGGCCTCGGCCGCCGTGGGGCTCAGGTGGAGGCCGCTCTCCTGGAAGGGGTCTCGCTTCCAGGCACTGCCATCCTGGGGTGGGCGAGGGGGACGGGGTGCTGAGAATGAGCCCCAGGGCCAAGCTCCGGACGGCAGCCGCTGCTGGGGAGCTGACACCAGAGGCCACCTGGGGGGCTGCTCACGGGGCCCAAGAGGGCTTTCTGGAGGTGGCAGCCCCCCTGCCCGGGCTGATGTCCCCTCAGACCCCCACCCACGGCCTCTGGCACCCCCTTGTATTAGCACAGCAGTGGAGGGGAGGGCACCCAGGTACCTCAGTGTCCTTGTCTGAGCCAGGCAGGTCACTTCGGGATGAGCACGCTGAGCCCCCGTTGAGCTGGAAAACCAGGGCAGGTTGTGCCCTCAGCGTCCCCACCCAGGGGGCCACCACCGCACAGACACACGCACCTGCACGCACGCACGCTCACACACACACACACATGCTCACACACATGTGCACACACACATGTGCACACACACACACAGCGACATCTTCCGCAGAGGTGGGCACCACACCCAGTACACCCCAGGTCCGGCTGGGCAGGATGCCGGCCCCCAAGCAGTGACCAGGTAGGTGGCCCTGGCCATGGCAGCCCAGGGCACAGTGAGGCAGTCTGGCTGCAGGAAGTGCCCACATGAGCAACGCCCAGGGTGAGGCCAGGGATCCATGAGGAGGCAGAGACTGGAGGCTAACTTGTTAGCCCCGTGGTGCTGCGGGACAGGGACAGAGGGCAGCAGCCCTGACCCCAGGTGCTCTGTGTGGCAGGGTGTGGCACTGACCCAGGACAGGATCCACGGTGGGCATAAAAGCCGGGGGTAATAGGGCCAGAGAAGGGGTTCACATCTGCACCTACTCAAGGACAAGGATTCCAGGAGGGAGGGGAGCCTCTGGCAGGCCTGGGGACCCCCAGAGGTGCCCCTGAGGTCTCCTGGGCCCACCGTCTCACCTGGGCAGGGCTGGTCCCGTTGGTGACTGGTGACGGCAGTGGACCTGTGGGGACAGTGTGTCAGTGGCTGGCCGGGCCCCCACACTGCACCACTTGTGTGCCCCTGGGGCTGCACCTACCTTCCACGTGCTCCGAGGTGGGTGTGACCCGGAGCCGCTTGAAGTGCTCGTCTGTCTCGGGGTCCACCACCAGCAGCCGGGCCTCATCCTCCCGCGCCTTGATGCTGGCAACCACCTCGGCGTGGCGCAGCCCTTCCACGTTCTGCCCGTTCACCTGCCGCCACCAGCACGGGGTCAGCACTGCCCGAGGGCCCGGCCAGCCCCCCACACCCCCTGGCCAGGTGTGGCATCAAATATTCATCAGCGCCACCACCCGCCGAGGCAGCCAGAGGAGTGCCAGCTCAGGTTCCCGGAGGCTCCCTCCTCCCAGCGAGGACCCAGGCCCCGAACATGGGCACACGGACACACCGGGGGACGTGGGCGCACGTGTGAGGGGCCCCGGCTCCCCCCACCCGGGTACCTCGATAAGCCGGTCCTGGGCACGGAGGCCAGAGTGGGCCGCAGGGGAGCCTGGGTCCACGGAGCGGATGTACTGGCCGGGCCGGGACTTGTCACTGTGCAGGTTGAACCCGTAGCCCTGAGGTCCCTTCCGCAGATGGCAGAGCCGAGGGCGCAGCTCCCTTGGGGACCCATTGACATCCTGCAGGGACACAGGGCTCAGGCTCCGGCTCCAGCCTCCCAGCCCCAGAGGCCACCACCCAGGAGCCGCTGCCCAGCCCCAAACTCGGCATCATGCCCCTTAGGGCAGGCTCTAGGTCTCAGTGACAAACACTTGGGTAGCCATGCCCCCAGGGCTGGCCCCTCAGGAGGGCTGCCCATGCCTGAGCCCCCACTGTGGGATCTTGGGCAGAGCCTCAGTTTCTACGCCTGAAAACGTTGGGACAGCTCACTTGGCTCAAGGACAGGGCTGTGCCCAGGTGGGGTGTAGGAAGAGGCCAGGTGGCCGGGATGGCCCCAAGGCCCCGCCCGTGCACCCCTCCCGGAGCTCTTAGGCCAGGCAGTTTTGTTTTCTGTCCAAAGGCCTCGGTGAAGCTGGCTGCGGTGGTGGCGGCTGTGTTTGCTTTCACATTCCAGCAAACACTGGAGCTGCCCTGCCCCCACGGGCCCAGAAGGAAGGAGCTGGGGCAGAAGCCCAGTGAGAGTGCCCGGGCCTGCCCGCCTCCCTGCCCAGCCTGGGCACAGATGGCCTCATGGTACCCTGTGGAACCCCTCGCCCCCGGGGCTTGCCTCACTTTACCTCTGGCATCCTGCAGTAGGGGTCTGGGCCTGGGGCCAGGCAGGCAGGGGCCAGGCCCGGTGACCCCCACCCAGCCAGGGCCGGGTGGTGCCTGCAGTGGCAGCGGTGGTGGCCAGCAGCTGCTGGTGCTCAATTAAACATGGCGATGGCGGGAGTGAGCGGGCAGGTGGCAGCTCAGGTTTCCTGGGAGCGCTCAGGGCTCAGGGGCGTGTGCAGGGGACAGCCTGCCGGCCACCTCCCTTCGTGCTGCTGAGGGACCTCGGGCCAGGCTAGGGCAGGGACAGCACTGAGGGAGGGCCCCTCAGATCCTAAGGTTGGCCTCTAAGCCTTCGGCACCTGGCACCCTACAGCCCAGACCACCCCCTGACCACTCCAGCCGCCCGGCCTTCAAGTTCACTCCAGACCCCAAATCAGCCAGGGAATGGCCCATGTCTGTGGGCAGCCAGGCAGCCACGGCAGCAGGGGTGTCCCCCTCCGCAGGGCAGGGACCTGGCCCCAGCGCTCTGGGCCTGCCCCTCAGTCTAGAGGACCCTCTTCGTGTTCAGCCTGTCCAGACAGCTTGCCTGGGGGTCTACTGCCGACCCTCCGAACCCTGCTGCCTGGCACACATGGCCCCATCACCCGGGAAACCAGGGACTCTGCTGGGCAACATGAGCTGAACTGGAGGGTGCAAGACTCCCCGATCCCCAGGGCCCCACCACACAGACTCGGCCCCTTTCCCGGACACACCTGGAAGAACAGCATGTATGGGGCCTTGAGACCGGCCCTGACACTGGAGGTGGCTCTTGGGGAAACAGCAGCAAGGCTGGCCCGGGAGGAGCAGAGGAGCAGCCAGAGCCAGAGGTGGCAGCGTGGCATGGCCGTGCCTGGCCCAGCCCCTGGCCCAGGTGCAGTGACACCTCATATGGTCACAGAGATGAGGCAGCCAAACACATAGTCACGAACACATTACTTAGACGACATGCACAGCCACCCACACACACGGACGGATGTCCCCATGGTGCTGGCCCCTGCAGTCCCTTCCCACGCCTGCACGGCGGCCTGCAGGACAGCGTCTCTCGAGGTCCCCAAACAGGAAGCAGGGTTTGGCAAGCATCTGGAGCCAGGAGGCCAGGCTGAAGCCCCACCTGTGTCCTCTGGTTCACTCTGGCTGTCCCTGGCCTACACCCCTCACTAGAGCAGGGGACGAGAGGTGCCAGGCTTGGCACCAGGCCCTCAAGTGGAGGGGCTGCAATGCAGGGGGCTGCTGGCAGCCGTGGGTGGGTCAGAGGGCCGTGAAGAGTGGCAGGAGGCGCACATTGCTCACATTCCTCCTCCTGCCCTGGCTCAGCGGGCTTCCTGCCGCCTCCCCAGGCCCTAGGCTCCCACGGGCTCCCCACTGGGCGGCTCCAGGCGGCAGAGCTAGGCAAGCCCTGGTCCCCCAGCCATGCCTGTGACCAGAGACAAAGAGGCTGGCATGGGGTACCCCCCAAGGGTGACTCACCAGCCCTGGCAGAGAAAGGACTTCATTGTTGCTCGGGGTCCAGCCTCCTTACATCACAGTCTCCCTTCTCCCTACCCTGGAGGGCTAAGCCCCCTGCTAGGCACCCCGCCACCCTGCCCCACCTGACCTGCAGAAGCCGCTGGGGCAGGCTCCATGGAGGGGCTCCTGGGGCCGGGGCAGGCGGTGTGGCGCTCCCAGAGCGGGCCATGACAGGAGGGACAGACAGAGCAGCTGGCGGGTTTCTGGCCAGTGTAGCCCGAGCTCTCTGGCCAGCCTAGGCTGCCACCCCACTTATCTACCTCCCGCTGTGGCCCAGGCTCCCCGGGGATGGGTGGGGACGTGGGGGCTGAGTCACTTTGGGGAGCAGGGTGATGACGGAGCCCACTCCCCTGCGGAGGCTCCAGCCCAGCGCCCCACACAGCTGGATTTCCGTCCCAAGAAAGGAAGGAAGGAAGCTGCTGGAAAGCCCTGCCCTGCTCCAGGAGCAAGGGCTGGGGGACAGTGAGCAAGGGAGGGGTCCCGGCCCAGAACACGCGACAGGCCCACGGGTGCACAAGAGCCAGGGAGACTGTCACAGGTGCCATGTCCTACCCTGCACAGCCACCTCCTGCAGACTCTGTCACCCCTCACTCACCCTCAGCCCCCAAGGCCCTACAGACGGGGATGGGGCACAGGCTGGGGACAAGGAAGCAGAGGACCCAGGGTCTGTCACCGCCTCCGTGGCCCTGGCACCGCTAGCTGCCCGGCGTCACTGCTGGGATCAGCCGCATGCAGCTGCAGCCACCCCCAGCCTGGTGCAGCCCAGGGCTGAGTCACCACTGACTAGGCCTTCACGGCCCCCAGAGGGAGGGACGGCTACATCAGTGTCCTCCCCTGCCCCACCGCTCCAGTCCCAGCCAGAACAGGGGGACAAGAGTGGCCCTTACCCCGTGGGGCCCCCAGCTCTCTACAGCAAGACCACACACAGCAGGCTCCTGTCCCTCTGCCACCAACACCCTGTCAGAGTGCAGCCCTGCAGGGCGAGCTGTGCCCACACCCTGCACCCGCCTGAGCTGGGCGCCTGGTGTGTGGGGGTCAGATGAGGCCCAGCTCCCCTTGCAATGCTGTGAGCTCAGTTAATGCAATGTCAGGTCTCTGGCCAAGAGGGAGAAGAAGAGACCCTGTCCCTTGGACCTCCCTGACCTCCTGGAGTCCCTGTCCCCAGGCCAGCCTCACCCACAGAGGGACCCGCCAGTCGGGCCTCCCTTTGTTCCTCTAAAAATACGCCCAGAGGAAGTCCCTCCTAGGGCTTCCTGCAGCCCCCAGAGCCTGAAATAGCAGAGGGGGGAAGGCCCCACCCAAGGTGCCTAAGCCACCGCACCCTCCAGATAAGGACTGACGGATTTTCCACCCAAAGGCAAACTCCACCATTTGTGTCTAAATCAATGGACAAATGCTGGAGGGAGGGGAGCTTCCTCCTGGGCGTGAGACAGGGAGCCAGGAAGGAGGGGGGCTCCAACCTCGGCCTGGGGGAAGGGAGCCTGGGGCCAGTCTGCCCCCCGACCGGTGCCAGCCGGCCCCCAGACCAGGGCTCAGCAGCCCTGACTGCTCCCATGGCTTGCCCTCAAGTCCCAGGGAACAGAGTGTCCCATGGGTCCCCATTCCCAGCTGGGCTTCCCACCAGGAATTCCATGTCCCCACCAAGATAGGCCCCATGGGGCTCAGCTCACAGGTGCAGCCGGCTTGACGGCAAGACGTTTGGGGAAGGGAAAAGGTAGATGTCAAGTCCTCTGCACACCCGGAAACTTGACACCTGACACCACCACTGACACTCAAAGTGGGATCTGGGGAACCCTGGACTTAAATCCTCCAAAGCTGCAGTCCCCAACCCCACCCCACCCCCACATGTCCACACCCCCCACACACGTCAGGAACCGGGCTGCAGAGCAGGAGATGAGCGGTGGATGAGCCAGCAAAGCTTCAAGCTTCGTCTGTCCGTATTTACCGCATTTACAGCCGCTCCCCACGGCTCGCATGGGCTCCGCCGCCTGTCAGATCAGCAGGTGGCATTAGATTCTCACAGGAGCACGGCCCCCACTGTACACTGTGCGTGGAGGGATCCAGGTTGCGGCTCCTTGTGAGAATCTAATGCCTGACGATCCGAGGTGGAGCTGAGGCGGTGATGCTAGCGCTGGGAGCAGGTGCAAATAGGGATCATCATTAGCAGAGAGGTCTGATGGCACAATAAATGTCATGTGCTCGAATCATCCTGAAACCATGCCCCCCACCCACACTTCCATGGCAAAACTGTGTTCTGTGAAACCAGTCCTTGGTGCCAAAAATGTTGGACCACTGCTCTAAAGGGCTTTCTAAAAAAAAAAAAAAAGAAGGAAAAAAGGCAGAGGGCATGAGAGACAACTGCATTACAGCTTCTGAGAGGGCAAAACCAACAGCTAAGCAGGGCCACCCACCAGGCCTGGCCACCTAGAAGGAGGTGTGACAGGCCCTTCCCTATTCTTTCCGGGCCTCCTGGCCTGGGGTGGCAGCAAGGCAAGGGAGAGGTGCTACCCAGCAGGGGCCCAAGAGGAGCAAAAATGGGGGGGAAGTGTACGCTCACCCTAGAAGCTCCTGTGGGGCCTGCCAGGTCCCAGCAGCAGGAGGGTGGCAGGCTGCAGGGGCCAGTGCACAGCTGACCCAGCCAGGCCCAGCCCCGCCCCCAGCCCACTCCAGCCCCCCCCCCCCCCCACGCCAGCCCCAGCTTGGAGTCCGCTCGGCTCCCCCGGCCACGGCACTGCCTGCAGAGGCCGGCCCCCTCCAAGCCTTCGCACACACAGACTCCACAGGTGCCGTGCCTACGGGGCTGGGCACACCCAGACCTCAAATATCCCAGCAACTCCTCCCAGGGCTCCTCAGCCACTAGGCTAGGGGTGGGGTGACTTATCGGAGTGACCCCTTCCTAGGCTAGGTGGCTTCCAAGCATCCCAGAGGCTCAGGCCAGGCTGCCTGGACCCCATTGGGTTGGGAACACAGGCTGAGGGCAGAAAGTATGGCCACCACCCCATGGCCAAGAGGGTAGTCACCAGGGGCACAGACGGTGGTCGCTGGGGCAGAGAAGGGGCCCAAGAGGCAGAAAAGACAGAGACTTCCAGGAGGGACCAGAGGAGACTGACATCAGGAGGCTGTGACGGTGGCTCTGGGAGGGGTCTGGTGGTCCTTGTGGGTGAGCCCACCATACCTTCTTGCCAGCATCGGAGCCCAGACTGCCCGCACGTGCCCAGTCCAGCTTGGGCTCCCAGGGGTCCTGGGCCGGCGGGAGCCCCAGCTGGGCCATCTCCTCGGTGCAGGTCAGCTGCCGCCGGCGCAGCTCCTCATCGGTGTCCTTGTCCACCACCAGCAGCTGTGTGCACCCCTCCACAGCCCTGATCCTCTGCACCACCTGGGGGGCGGGGGCGGGGGCGGGAGCAGGTCAGCGGCCGGCACCCTGGGCAGCCCATGGGCAGTGGCACACTCCGGGCTGGCCCGGGCACAGGCAGGCAGCTGCTCTGCCGGGTGGGTGGCTGGACCGAGAGGCCTGCCGGCCCCGCCTCCCACCCCCGGGCTCCAGCGCTCCCTCCCTCTGCTCCTGGCCCCTGACTGAGGTCCAGGCTGCAAAGGCTTCAGCATCCTCCCAGGGCCTTGCCTTCAGCCCAGGGCCTTCTCCAGGAGGAACGGGGAGGGGCTGCCGGGTGCAGCCAGCTGGGTGAGCTAGTCAGCCTGAAAGTGACAGAGGTGGGTGCGTGGCTGGGGTCAGGCTTTCGGGCTGCGTGTGCACGTGCATGCGTGTGCGTGTGTGCTCATGTGCATCCATCTGTGTTGGAGTCTGTCCTCAGTCTGGGTTTGAGAGAGAGAGATGTCTCCCTGTACCCCCGTTTGGGTGTCTGTACCCATCCCTGTCTTTCTTGGTGGCGCAGTGTGGGGGTCTAAACCGCGTGGGGGTCTAAACTGCAGCCCGAGAAGCAGGATTCACATCCAGCCAGCGAGGGGGAGGGGCAGGTCCACCTGCGGGACAGCTGTGGCGCGATGGCCATCTGTGTGGCTACGCAGGCGCCTGTGAAGTGTCTGAGTAGGCAGGAGGCCAGCGTGTTCTCGGGGAGAAGGCACGGTGTCCCTGGGCAGCGGGGAAGGCAGGGCGGCAGCCCACTCCCACCTGCAGCCTGGCAGAGGGCGGACGGGGTGGGGGCTCCACAGGTGTTGTCAGCAGATGGCAGGGTCTGAGCTAGGCCCATCTTCACTGGGCCCTCCTCCGTCCCTCCTCTCTCCCCATGTCCCAGAGAGTGGCAGGAGGAACCCAGCACCCTGCTGCTTCCTGACTGTGTGACCCAGAGAAGTCACCCCAAATCTCTGAGCATCACTTTCCTCATCTGTAAAAGTGGGGTCGCAATTTCACTCCTGCCCTCCTGGGACACTGGGGAAGGTCCGACATGGTTGTGTGTGTGAAGTTCTTAGAGACGAGCACCCAGAGGCTGTGGATAGGCAGGCGTTATTGGGGCGAGGGTGGCGGAGACTATTAAGCAGAGGCCGGCGCCGGCACTGCCAGCCCTCTGCTCGGCCTGCCAGGCCAAGGCCTCCAGCCCTGACCCCCGCCCTTCATGAGCCGACACTCCGGGTGGAAGACAGAAGGGTGGCAGACAGATGGACAGACAAGGCCCCCGGGTAGAACAGGAGTTCAGCTCTGGCCTAGCCAAGAGCCAGTCTGCTAATCGCCAGGCCCCAGACTGGCCACATGGACGGGTCACGGACCTGGCACTGTGAGGGACCCAGAGGACCCAGAGCAGAAGGGGTGCAGGGAGCCTGGGCCCCAACCAGGGTCTCAGGTGAGTCAGCCCTCAGGGAAGAGGGCTGCTCTTCCTGGCCTTTGGTCCAGCCACAGGAGGCAGGGACTGTGGCCAGTGACCCTGCTGGGCTAGGTACCCTCTGGAAGCAGTGTCTTTGGAGCTAAGGAATGTGCTGCCACCAGTGGCCAGCTCCCCTGGACCCAGACACACCTGCGGGACACACAGTATGGAGTACATACAGCCAGGCACGCAGACACACAGGCCTGGATACGCACACCCCCACCTGTCTACACACACACAGAACACAGGTCCCGCACGTCCAGCAGTATGGATCTGTCCACACACACACACACACAGAGCCCAGGTCACACAATTCCAGCAGTGTGGACCTGTCCACACACACAGAGCCCAGGTCACACAATTCCAGCAGTGTGGACCTGTCCACACACACACAGCCCAGGTCACACAATTCCAGCAGTGTGGACCTGTCCACACACACACAGCCCAGGTCACACAATTCCAGCAGTGCAGACCTGTCCACACACACGCACACACAGAACACAGACCACGCACGTCCAGCAGTGCGGACCTGTCCCCACACTCGCACTCAGACTCGTACACTCAAGGCACACAGTCCAGCACACACGTCACAGATCACACACACAGAGGGATGCCCTTACTGTGACCCCTCCTGGGTGCACTCGGGCAGATGTGTGCACACACACGACCCCAGAGGGACCTGCCCACACACATACCCAGCTGCACGCACGCACGTACACAACGGCACCCAGGTCCCCACCCGCAGACGCCCCAAGTCGCGACACCCTGACACATGGCACGTTGAGGGCCCAGGGCGAAGCAGCCGCAGTGCAGGCCCCTCCCTGCCAGGACGCCCCCCCAGCCCCAGTGCGGGACTGAGCTTCCTGGGGGGGGCGAGCGCGGAGGATGGCGGCCGCCGCCTCCTGGCCACGTACCCACCGCCCCCAGGAGCTCCGCAGGCCCCGGCGCGACCCCGCCTGGCCCGGCAGGGACGCGCTCCCCGGGGCGGGGCGGGGCGGGCACCCACCTGGTGGTGCGTCTCGCCCTCCACGTTGACGCCGTTGACCTCGACCAGGCGGTCCCCGGCGCGCAGCGCGGCCGCTTCGGCGGGGGAGCCCGGCTCCACGCGCCGGATGAACTGCCCGCGACGGCCCTTCTCGCCGTGCAGGTGGAAGCCGTAGCCCTGCTCGCCGCGCACCAGGCGGCACAGGCGCGGCCGCAGCGCGTCCGGCGCGGCCATGGCGCCCGCTGCCCACCGGCCGGCCCGGGCTGGCCCCGCGCTCCCGGCCCTCGCCTGCGAGAGGGCGAGGCGGCGGGGACCGGTGGCGGCCGCGGCGGCTCCGCTGGCCCGCTTCGCCTCGGGCTCCGGCTGGGCTTGGCTGCGGCGCCCCCCGCCCGCCCTTCCCCGCCCCCGCCCGGCCGCCCGCCCCGGGCCACGCCAGCCCTGCCGCCCCCGCCTCCGCGCCCGCCGGCTGAGGGGCTGCGCGGAGGGGCTGCGCCGAGAGGCCGGGGATGGGACCCCCGCGCCACTGGGAGCCCCTCTGCCTCGCCTCTTCTTTGGGCAGCCTCCTTGGCCCCAGAGCCTTTGCCTTCTATTCCAGGCACATTTATTGGACACCCACTGTATGCATACACGCAGGGAGGCAGATTCTTGATATGGGGGACAATTTGGAGAAAGGGTCCCCAGGTCGAAGGACCTCCGGACAGGGACCAAAGTGTACGAACAAGGACAGCAGCCCGTCCCACACTCCTCAGGAAGCCCTCTCTCCGCCCCTCCAAGCCCCCTGTCTGCTCCCACTCTGCTGTCCCTGTATCTGGGTCCCTCCTGCAGCCAAGCTGCCCGGGCCATGCGCGAGAGGGCAAAGATGGGTTTAAAAGTAGCACGCACCAGCCCTTACTGGACCCTGGAGCCCGTGACCGGTGACTCCCTGACCTTCCCAGGGCATGTATGGGCTATCTGCAATGCATGTCCAGTCCCTCCCTTTGCTGGGGCCCCTCACCCATGTCAGAGTCCACCCAGGCCTGGCCTGTGACTTCGCGATCCCAGGCTTCTATGAGGCTGGGGGAGGATATGAGTTCATCTGGCTGAAACCTGAGGGTCTTTGGTACTCTCCTCCTGGCCTGGGATGAGCTGCCCTGAGAACTTTGGCCTCTAAGCTGTGGGCCGTGGTCGGCACACACAGGAGCTACTCCACATAAGTAGGCACCTGCAGGAGCCCCTCCCCAGCCTCCAGCCCTCCACTTCCCCCAGCCTCTACCTCCCCAGGCATGAGTGTCCATCCCCTCTTCCCCAACTAGACAATACTAATCACAGCGGAGAGTCATCATGCACTGCCATGCTTCTCTGAGTGCGTTTCGCCTGGAACAACTTAGGGGGCCAGGCCATTTTACAGATTAGGAAACTGAGGTCTGGAGAGGGAAGAGGCCTGGGGCTGTGAGATTCAGAGTCCACACTCTTCACTGTGGAGCTCTTTCTCAGTCTCAGATACAGGAAGATAGCCAAGTCCCAGGCCCAGCTTGCCCCTCCCCAGCCTGGCCAGGCCCCCTGCACATACCTGGTACCCATGGCTCAGGCCCAGCCAGCCAAGACAATTCCCCATGTGTGCAGTTTTGAAAAGCAGGCTTGGCTCAGTTCTGCCCTCTCTCTCCTCTCTCCAGTGCCCTTGGTCTGGGCTCCCCAGGCCCCACCCAAGAGCAGGGCCCGCCTCTGGGCAGCCTCCTGGGACATGGCCCCCTGGGTCCCCACACCCCGGCAGCTGCCCCTAAAAGCCACTTAGGCTGATGCTGAATGGCTGCTCCCCCACCCCCACGTCTGCAATTCCTGGTGGAGGCTGCCATAGGCTCCGGCCTGGCTGGCCAAGTCCATCTGTCTGCCTGTCCAGAGAATGTCTTTCTGCACCCAGCCTAGTGCTGCGGCCCTTGGAGACTGTGAGGATGGGTGTGGCAGTGTGGCCCACCCTGCATCCCACGCACCACACCCAGGTGGAGCCCAGGGGTCATCCTGCAGCAATCAGGCCCTCCCCAGAGCTGCATGCCGGTAGTTCTGTGGCCACAGGGGAGTCCAGGGAGGAGGCTGGATGCCAAATCCCCAGACCGGTGGGGAAGGGAAGGGGCCTCAGGTCCCCTGGGTCAGGGGGCTTGCGGAACTCTTCCCCCACTCCGTAGGGCAGACTCTCCTGACCAGCCTGGAGCCCTCACCAGCCCTCTGCAGCCCAGGACCCGGCTGCGTCTTCCTGCCTATGACTGAAGATGGGATGGGGAACAACGCCGAGGGGAGGGAAGGTAGCCAGGGACATGCGGTCACAGCCAGGGCCAGGAACCAAGGAAGTAGCATGCAAGACACTGCAGTTACAGAGTAACAAAGGAGTCCCCAAAGCAAAGGGGAGCTGAGGAAGTACCAAGGAAGGTAACAGAGTAACAAAGGCAACATCATAGAGGGACAAGAAGGCTGGGCAGCAAAGCAAGTGGGAGCCCAGCAAAGCAGGTAGCAGCAACAGGGTAAGTAAAGGCAGGTGGAGAAGAGCTGGAGGTAACAATGTCAGGGCAGCCGCAGGATCGGTGAGAGAGGCCAGAGTAAGTGTGGACGGCTGGAGTACCAGGTGAGGAGGGGGACCCAGCGCTCTCACGGGCAAACCCTCCCAGGCCTGGCTCTGAGGCCGACCTTGGGCACGACAGGGCGTGACAGAGGTGTGGAGGGAGGGAGGGAGGGCAGGCAAAGGCCTCGAGATGGGGACTTGGGCGGTGTCCGGAGCTCTGAGCTGTTTGGAGTCTCTGAGAATGGGATGGGGAGGGTGGGCTTTCTTTTGCTGGTGCTGCAGGGTGTGGACGGGGTGACCCGGGCCCCCAGGCCGGCTGCAAGAGGAAAGGAGGGCGAGTCAGGGGCAGACCCGGGAGATTCCCCCATGCCCCCCATCCCCTAAAGCCACCCCTCCTCTGAGCACTGAACCCGCACCCCTCCGGCGCAGCACCAGCGGTCCGGACGGAAATGGGATGTGGCCGTGGGCGGGCCCCGCGCCCCGTCTGGGGTGAAGCCGCGAGTCCGACGCCCCAGCAGGGGTCCGGGGCTCCCGGGGAGCCTCCCGGTAGCTGCTAATGGCCCCGACCTCGCCGAGGCCTCCTCCCGCAGCCGACGCCGAGCTCCAAGTCTGGGAACGGGCAGGCGGGGCCCGCGCGACGCCAAGAGGGACGAGACCAACTGAGACCAGAGGCGGGAGGGGGCAGAAGGGGAGAAATGGCGAGGACCCGGCCGAAGGAGGGGGGGCGGGAACCCGCCTCGGAGAACGGCGCGCCCCGCCCCCGCCGCCCGCCCCGGCCCCGCCCCCGAGCGGGCCTGCCCCTCGTTGGCCACGCCCGCCGCCGGCTCCGCGCCCCGCCTATCGCTGGAGGCGCAGGTCGGCGGCCGTCGCCGGGAACAGCGGCCGCGCAGCGCCACCTGGCTGGAGTTGCTGGGGATGCGTAGTCCAAGGGGTTGCCCTGGGCCACGTCCCTCTGGCTAGGACCTGATCCGGTCCTGCGGGGTGGGGATTGGGGGTGAGGCGGGAGCCCCAAGGGCATGGCGGGAGTGGAAGGCGCAGGGGAGAAGCCCGGCCTCTGCAGAGCCCTGCCCCTTCCTTGGACCTGGCACCAACTTCTCTGGGCTGGGGTACCTCCCAGCAACATGAAATCTAGGCCCTTCAAAAAGTGTGCCTTGCGCAGTGGCTCACCTATAATCCTAGCACTCTGGGAGGCCGAGGCGGGAGGATTGATCAAGGTCAGGAGTTCAAAACCAGCCTGAGCAAGAGTGAGACCCCTCTCTACTATAAATAGAAAGAAATTAATTGGCCAACTAAATATACATACAAAAAATTAGCTGGGCTGCTTGCCTGTAGTCCCAGCTACTGGGGAGGCTGAGACAGCAGGATTGCTTGAGCCCAGGAGTTTGAGGTTGCTGTGAGCTGGGCTGACGCCACGGCACTCTAGTCCAGGCAACAGAGTGAGATTCTGTCTCAAAACAAAAAGAAAAAGTGTCCCAGCACTGGTGACCAAACATTTGAGGACCAGTTGGCAGCCAGTGCTGGCCAGCACTGAGAACCTAAAAAACAGAGCTTTGTGCACCTGGGCCTCAGCTAGGGCAGCCCGAGGAGGGGCATTTGGGGGGCCGTCCTTCAGGCTGGGAGCTCCTGGGTGTCCTGGAATCTCCCTAGGACTCCTGCAGGCTGAGGCAGGAGGAAGGGGGCAATGGGATGACAGGGTCATCCCTGTGGCCAGCCCGAGGGCATGGATACTGTCCCATAGGCAGAGGGGAGCACTTAAGGTGTTGTGCATTTGGGGATGACAAGATCAGGACATCCATGTTCCTAAAGGTCAGGTTCCCTGAAGAGCAGGGCAGGCGTGGGGGAGGAGTGAGCTTGGAGGGAGGAGAACAGGTCCACCCAAGCGTCTGTGCCTACTTCTTCCTCCAGTGCAGCCCCGGGGAGAGGGCTGGGTGGACTCAAAGTAAACGCATTTAGGGGTCCATGGAATGGGTGGAGGAAATAGGAGCATTCTTGCTTGGGGTCAGCTAGGGAGAAGGATGCACCCAGAAGATAAAAGGAATGGCCAGCAAGGGACAAAGGGCCAGAGTGTGGAAGCTGGCTCCACAGGGGCACCTCGGGGGCCACCCTTCCTCCAGCCCTTGCTGGGTGGCCCCAAGGGGAGACCTTGCAACATGGCCAAGGAAAGGCTCCAAGGGCAGATGGCACCACGGCATATGACCCTGGTGGTTTGAGGTCCAGGCCAGTCATAGGAGTCAGAAGCCTATTAAAGAGCACTGGAGAGAGAGCAGCAGAGTGAGGGAGAACTAGATGGGCCGTAAGGGAAGGCTTTGACATTCAAGATGGCACAGCACATGCATGTGGGGCTGGAGCCAAGGCCTGGAAATGCAGAGGGCAAGAGTTGGAGGGACTTCTGGGGAAGGGAGGGGGCAGCTGTGGACAGGAGGAGGGCATGGCATGAAGAAGGGCGCCCTACCTATTCTCCCAAAGCCCTTGGCTAAGGGCAGGGAGGGGGCTCAAAGAGACCCAGGTTTGAAATGAATGCTGGGAGATGGGGGAAGGGGAAGGTCCACGTGGGCTGCCTGGGTGAGGCAGGAGTCCACAATGGGGAGGGGGACACTCTCCTCAGCCTGGCCAGAGGGCATGGGGGGCACCTGGGGAGCTCCCTGGAGGCTGCGCTGAGGAGTCCCAGCTTTTCCCCTTCTGTACAGCTGGGTGGATGGAGGCAGGGCCCAGGGACTGTCCAGCCCCTCCCCCCAAGGAGTCCCTGGGGTCTTCAACCCTGGGACCTGGTCTGAAGACCCACCGCAAACAGGAGAGTGCGGCATTGGCTGAGGGACCAGACCCAGCAGAGTGTCTGCCTCACTCCCCTCTTCTGCCCTCAGGGACATCGGGATGGCTGTGAGGCGAGGGCCCCTGACATTTGCCAGGGCGTGGGCGCGGCTTGTTTGCGCCCCAAAGCGAGATGGCAGAGTACACAGCGCGGAGGAAAACGGACACACGCGGGGGCGCAGGAATCAGGCGGGTTTTATTGACCAGACGGCCGTCCTGGCCGGAGCTGCGAGCTGCGCGCCCGAGAAGCCACAGCGACTTCTCCGGAGTCAGGCGCGGGGGCGCGGCGGGTAAGGGAAGCTCTCAGGGCGACCCAGCGGCCAGGCGTGGCCGGCGAAGGCGGTTTGCTGCAGGGGCCACGGGTGGGCGGGAGATGTGTCTCCGAAGGCTCTAGAAAGAACAGAGCAACAGGTCCACGGGGAGGGGGCCGTGCGCACCCCACTGCCGCCCGGGCCGCTAGGGTAGAGGCCGCTCCGTAAAGGCCCTTCTCAGCGCCCAGTGAAGGATAGAGGGACCGGAGGGTGCCCCGTGGACGCGCGGACGTGTGGTCTGGGCTCAGACCCCCGAGACCCCTGTCCTCTGCCAACCCGGCCTCCTCCCTCCCCTCACGTACCTGGCCCGCTCTGCGAAGGTCCAGGAGTGGGGGCGCAGCCGCGGCTTCGGTTCCAGGGCGCGCGGGCTCCGGGGCGCACGGACGGGGAGCCCAGCCGGGGAGCTCCCGCGTCGCGTGTCCCATGGCTCCTGAGGCCCCGAGGGAAGCAGGAGGAGAGCATCACGGGCGGCGGGCCCCGCGGAGAGGGCGTCCCAGGCGAGGGGCCCGGCGGCCGCCGGCAGCGCGCGGCGCCACAGGTAGGGCGAGCGGCGCAGCCCCATGAGCAGGCCGGCGGCGCGGCCCACCGTGTGGTAGCGGGGGCTCGCCACGTGCTTGTACCAGGCGCCGGCAGGCGGCAGCAGGAGCGCGAGCAGCAGCAGCGCGAGCAGCGGCCGGCTCGCGGGAGCCCCCCGCACCCCTGGGCCCTGCGCCAGGGCGCTCACGTCGACGGCCGCCCGGCGGGGCGGGCCAGGAACCGGCTCGGCTGGGTCTGGGTGCGCCCGGAATAGGGGCGTCGGGGAGCCGGAGCGCGGGAGGCTGGAGGTGAGCAGTGGTCCCTGCGGGTCCAGCTATAACCGCTTGGCGGCCCCGCCCCGCGCGCCCCCGCAGTACCCGCTGGGAGACCCACAGGTGGGGGCAGCGATGGAGAAGAGGGAGCGCGGGCTGGGGGCGGAGACGCGGTTCCGGAGCACCTCACTGAGTGGGCCCCGCCAGAGCTGGTCTTGAGCTCCCCTGGGGGCGCCGCCGCTTCCTGTCCGCCTCCTCCCGCAGCGGTGGAACCACCAGGAAGGCAGTCCGGGACCATGAGCCTCAGGCCCCTATCCTCAGCATGGGGATAGGGGCGAGGGGACACCCCTCAGCCAGACCCCTGCAGGTGGGCCGGGGCAGAGCAAAGCCCGAGGCTGGCAGAGTCCCAGTGGGGTGACGCAGGAGCGCTGATTGGGAAGTCCTGGGCACCATTCAAGACCGTTGTGTGCGGCTCCTCCCCTGAGGGCTGTCCCTTGTCACTGCCTAACACAGCTCTCAAGTCTGCCCCCACACCTGTCCTGTCCTGCCACCCCAGCTACTGCCACCAAGCCCTTTCCCGGCTGCAGCCGGGTGGAGGCTTGGAAACCTCAAGCTGGCCACACAGCTGTCCCCAAGGTGAGTGGTTCTCCAGCCCCTCCTCACACCTCCGACCCTGGCAGGGCAGGATAAGACCCTGCAACCTCCAGCGCCGCCTCTGGTCACAGTCCCATCCCCACAAACATATTCTCAGCCAGTCTCAATTTTTTGTCTGAACCAACAACCTGTGATTTTGCTATGTCTCTGTGCCAAGAACATCCTTCCTGCCTTTTCAACTTGGTAAACTCCTACTCATCCTTCAGGACTCTGCTTAAATGGCCCTGGTCTGAATTGTCCCCCCAATATTCCTCTAGGCCTGCCTGGGCTTAACATCCCCCACCCAGAGGGCAGCCTCCCAGCAGGTGCGATTTTTATCTTGAGGATGAATCCAGCCCTCAAAATAATTGGGCTTCCCTCTCACAACAACCTCACCATTCATGGGCTGCCCTCTCCAGGTCCCAGACACTGGGGACCTTGTTTTTCTTTCTTTTTTTGGAGACAGAATCTTGCTCTGTTGCCCAGGCCAGAGTGCCATGGCATCAGCCTAGCTCACAGCGACCTTAAACTCCTGGGCTCAAGCAATCCTCCTGCCTCAGCCTCCCGAGTAGCTGGGACTATAGGCATGCGCCACCATGCCCCGCTAATTTTTCTATTTTTAGGAGAGACTCAGTCTTGCTCTTGCTCAGGCTGGTCTCAAACTCCTGACCTCAAGCAATCCTCCTGCCTCCGCCTCCCAGAGTATTAGGATTACAGGCATGAGCCACTGCACCCAGTCAAGACCTTGTTTTGGATCATCACAAAATGTCTTATTTTGACCTCCAGATATTGCCATGCGGTGGGACTGTTACTGATTCCATTTTACCAATGAGAAAATTAAGGCCTGGGAAGAATTGGCTTGTCCCAGATCATCTGCTGGATAAGGGGTGGGTGAGATACATCCTAGACACCCCCCCAAGCCTTGGTTTAAGGGAATGAGGGATCCTTGTTGAGAGGGGCAGAGCAGGGGTGGGGGACACAGGAAGGCACCGGGTGGCTCTGGCCGTCCCTGGGGAGGTTAGAAGCAACAGCAGCCCTCCCCTCAAAGTCCACACGGAACTGGGGAGAAATTGGCCCTGGAGCCTGGTGGCTAGGTTCAAATCTGACCCAGGCTTGACAGTGGTAGGTGCAGGGCAGAGGGTAAGTGCCTCAACCTCTCCTGCCTCAGTTTCCTCATTTGTAAACTGGGGACAATAATAGTGGCCACTTCATTATCTTGTGAGCATTGATCATCCAGTCCTGGGTATTGGAACTGTGCCTGGCAGTCAGTAGGCATCATAAATGTCTGCAGCCGGGAGCTATTGTTGCTGTCCCAGAGACCGACGAACCCCCCAACCTGTCAGTGAAGACATTTTGATGGGGCGGGGTAGGGATGCAGAGGGAGGTGTTACCATGCCTGGAGGACCACAGGGACAAGGGGGCCGCTGCAGCAGAAAGCTGCTCCCCTGGGGCCCCTTGTCCTGGAGAGCCACCTGGAGTGTGCAGTGGGCGGGCAGTACGGCACGACACAGCACGAGGGTCCCTTGTTAAGGGGACGTGGGCGCTCCTGGAACCCTGGGGAACTACACTCCAGCCCGGGGAGGGTCTACAGCACCCCCTGGAGGTGGCCCAGGGAACCTACGTGGGAGCCGGTCCATCAATATGGAGTGGAAACTGATCAACAACAATGGTCTGTCTATGCTGGGACCAGGTCCCTGTGACAAGTAGAAATGGGAGTAGAGCTACAGGAGTAGCATAGACGAACCTCCAAAAATGCAGTGTGGGACAAAGAAGAGAACACCCTGCAGCATGACAGGTTCAGTGTGCTACCATTTCCTGAAGTTTAAATACCAGCAATGGATTCCTCTGTCTTGTTTATTGCTGCAGCTCAAGGGGGTGAAAATATCATCGGGATGTACAGAGGGATAGAGGCCACGTGTGAACAGAGGGTTGGGCACAGTGTCTGCTGGGTGGGCGTGTGCAGAAGGCATGGCAGGGTGAGACCAGGGCTGGGTAAGAGGAGGGAAACCCAGAATAGCTTGAGGGTTCCTGGGGGTTCCCACTTCAGGGTGCAGAGGAGGGGCTCTGTGCCCCACCCAGCCCAGTGCCCAGGGGGCCTGGTGACTAAGGCTCTTCCTCCCCCTCCGAGGAGGTGATAATCCTAGTAGCCCAGGAGAGCTGACTCACCTCTCATGCCCTCCACAGAACAGTACCTCTTGGAGCGGCCGATCACAGCGGGGTGTGTTTGCTTAGGGCCAGGAGCATGTCTGCTCCAGCACTGAGCCAGGCCCAGAACAGGAACTGGAACTCCCCTATAAGGATGAGGTGAATGAGCAACTCTCTCTGTTCTGTCATTTTTGAAATTATTAATTTTGTCAGGGTAATACACAGTATAAGTCAAATGCTACCATGAGAAAGAAAAAGAGCTGTCCCTGGCCACCGTTTCACATCCTGGTCCTGCTCTCCAGAGGCAACTGCTTCCAACTCTTTTAGCTGCTTCTTTAGTATTTATTTCCGTATTTTCAATCAAACTTAACTGCTGCTTTTTTAAATGGTAGTGTTTTTAAGGAGGCATAAGATACTTTCAGTAAAGCGTATGTATCTTAACACTCACACACGTTGCCTCTGTATACACCTGCACCTGCCTGCGCAGATAGAGAAGATTTCCGGCTTCCCAGGGGGCTCCCGCCGCCCCTCCCTGGCTAGTGCCCCCAGCATGACACATCTACCACCTTAGGGCAGAATTTTGCAGGCTCAGCACCACTGACCCCAGCGGGGGCTGTCCTTGCATGCAAGATGCTTAGCAGCATCCCTGGCCTTCACCCGCTTTGGTAGACAGAATAGTAGTCCCCCAAAGATGGTCATCCCTGCAACCCATGAATATTTATGCTGTATGGTAAGGGAGAATTAGGCTGCAGATAAAATCAGCGTTGCTAATCAGCTGACCTTACTAGAAGCTGGTTAGCACCAACTATCCAGGTGGGCCCCATGTAACACGAGGGCTCTTAAGTGTGGAAGAGTGAGGCTGAGGCAGGGGGGTTGGTGAGGAAGGTGGAAGTGGAGTGTGGAGTGGTGCTGCTGACAGTGAGAACAGACAGGGCCTGTGACCCGGGGAACTCGGGAAGCCTCTAAGAGCGGGAGAAGGCTCAGAGCAGGTTCTCCACTGCAACCTCCAGGAGGAAACATGTGCTCCCACACCTTGCTTTTAGCTCAGTGTGACCCACTTCAGCCTCTGAGCCCCCAAACTGTGAAATGACAAACTTGTGTGGTTTTAAGCCACTAAGTTTGTGGTACTTTTTATTGCAGCCTCAGGAAAGTAATGTCCCGACCCGCTGTGAGAGCCCAACATGTCTCCAGAGATTTCCAAACGTCTCCTAGGGGCCAAAAATCACCCCAGTTAAGAACTGCTGACTTAGGTTATAAAGTATTTCTTCTTTTATTTCTTTATTTTTTTTGAGACAGGGTCTCACTCTGTCGCCCTGGCTAGAGTGCAGTGGTGTCATCATAGCTCACTGCAACCTCAAACTCCTGGACTCAAGCAATCCTCCTGTCTCAGCCTCCGGAGTAGCTGGGACTATAGGTGCGCACCACCACACCCAGCTAATTTTTCTATTTTTAGTAGTGATGGGGTCTTACTCCTGTTCAGGCTCGTCTCGAACTCCTCGCCTCAAGTGATCCTCCCACCTCAGCCGCCCAGAGTGCTAGGATTACAGGTGTGAATCACCGTGCCTGGCCTTGCTACTGAATTTTTACTTATGCTGTTGTATTTTGAATTTATATGAGTTCTTTCTTGTTCTGATTGTTTTGTGGTTGTTATTCTTGTCCAAGGCATCCTATTTTCATTTCCTGGAACCAGTATCTTTTTGTGGTTATCAGATATAGTTCTTTCTAAAGTGTCCTTCCATTATAAGTATAGACAATACTATCAAAGTGCAAAAATATATGATAATATATATAATTTAAAAAAAAATAAATAAAAACAAAGTGTCCTTCCACTCTCTGGGTCTGTTTTGGCCTTTCATTCTGCAGGTTTTCCCCACAAACCTGGAGGGACCTGGCCTCCTGTTTCCAGTTAAGAATGAGACCTACAGTGCTGCTCCCCCAGTTCAGTGCACGGACTTCCTGCTTTCAGGGCCCTGTGTCACACACTCTCAGTGGTTCCGTGAGTGAAATTTCTCACTGGAGTCTCCCAGGGGTCTTTAGTCTTTAGGATGCTCTGAAAAAGAAAGCGCCTTCCTTCATCTTCTTTCTGTCATTCCAAAATTCGTTTATATCTTTCCCTGTCTGCTTCCCCCATCCTATTCTTTTTGTGCTGGCGGATTAATAGTTTTTTTAATCCTTTCCTGTCCGTTTAGTAGGGTTTCTTGAAGGTGAGACATCTGCATGGGGCCAGGCAATCTGATTTATTATGTATAGTGGTCCTGGTTTGCAAATGAGGACGTTAAGGGCTTTAGTGAGCCAACCAAGGCCACCAGCAAATAAGTGGCAGAACTGAATTTTTAAGTCCATTTCTGCCTGATTCTAAAGTGCAGGCTCATTTCCCCCACAATATACTGCCTCCTCTCTAAAAGGGTTCAGATCTGGACCGGACTGCTTCCTGGCGGAGGAAGCGAGTCCCGAGTGTGCCGGGCTCCCAAGGGTAGGGAGGAGGCAGCTCCCCCAGCAGCTGCAGAAACCCCAAGTCCC